AAATAGAAATAAAAGATGGGCAAAGCTTGGATGTGTACTCACACGGACTTGTTAGAGCTTTTTTATTTCTCTTTGCCGGCGCTCGAGTATTCCATACTCGGTCCTATTTATTTTCAAAGCAAAAACCCTCTGCTCTGCTCTGCTTCTATTCCCGGCGTAAAAAGTTTTGCAGAGAGCCCAGAAGGAGCAGAGAGTAAAGCGAGCATGAAAGCTCTCCCGATATCCGTATGCTTTTTCTGTAAATACCGGTGAAAAATATGTGCGATATCTTGGCAATGCTACACTACCTTAAAAACTAACAAACATATATATATTTAAAGAAAATAATAAAATACTTGTATCACTCGGACCGTATGTCAAGAAATCTTTATCCAATATTTATTGGAGTTATAACTTTACACAGAGTGAGAGTAGTATATAAATTTTTTTCTCTTTATATTACACATATATATATAGATTGTATTGAACATTATGCATGTCTTTCAATAGGGAATATATAAATATAAATGGGAATATTTGTATTATGTGCATGTATATTTTATATGTTTGTATATGTTATTTTCTTTTATTGGAAGAAATGATGCCGAGCGGGAAACTTCCGTTCAATTTGCCTCGATGAAATTGCTTTCGGGTCCAGTATGTTGTATAATATGGGTAGTATGGGTAGTATGGGACATAACTCTCGACACTCAAACTATGGAACGTTAAAGATAGAATATATATCATAGACACGTACACAGAATAGAAGCAGAACCATAATACCAGGGTTGGATATATAATAGTATATTGGTGCTGGTGCAGGGGTGACACTTTCCGGCGAGATATGGGATGATGGGACCAAAAAGGAAGCGAGGAGATTCATCGATTTAGCGCTCCTTCATCGCTTTAACTGCCCGTCGTTAATAATTTAAAGCCGGGAATAGAAAATGGGGAATCGGGAAATTAAAACTCCGCTCGACTACTAGTCGAGATTCTCTACTGCACTTTTCCGCTTCAATCAAAAGTAGCGCCAGAAATGTGTCGGGTTATTCATTTATTTGGGTCGCCAGATAATTTATTTTCATTTTAACGTTGATAATAGGGGGGATGCTGATTGTGTTTCTGTTTATTTATTTATTTTGCTTTTATTCTGGTTGCAGCGGTGTCGGGAATAAAGGCTGCGGCGCACTAATCTGAGGAATGGCGTCGACGTGGCGTTGGAAAGAGCGGAACCACTGCCATATCATTTCGCTCGAGCCTTTGTTCTTCACAAAGGAAGCCACAAAAAGGACTACAGGTGAGAGTAGTTTGTATCCTAAATTACTCTGCACTTTGTTTCCAGTTATTATTGTCGAAAAGTTCTTTGAATCAATGTTTTCTCTGTTTCAATGGTGATTTATAAACTAGTTCAAGTCCTACGAGTTTGTAAAGGAAGTCTTTCAGGCAATTTGATATTCAAGTTTTAGCAGTCGATCGGAGAAATTTATTTTCTACCAAAATATTTGATTAATTTGTCCTTTTTTTTTAATCAGGTCTAAATTCTTCTATAATTAATTTAAACCAAGAAGTTGTAGACCAAATTGTTTTTTTTAATTTTTTATAAATTCAAAAGTATTTGCAGCTTTTTTTAGACATGAAACAAATTAACTTCATAGAGAAACTAGAAATTTTAATTGCGCGGACAAAGAGTTAATTTTTTTTGGAAATTTTGGATTTTTTAAGGTACATTCTTACGTGTCAATTACAATTGTAAGTCAGATTAGGCTTTAAAACTTCTTTTGCAAGATTTCGAAGCCAAAGAGTTGATAAGTTTATTGTTTCTTTAAAAATTTTGAATTTTCAAAATTACATCTTCGCTTTTCCGTGCCGGGATGTATAATTAGGCTTTAAAACTCTCGATAAATTTATTTCTAATGATTGTTATGTACCAATTTAATTATTTTTGTATCCCCTACAAGGTTTTGAAGCCAAACTGATTAGTTTATTATTTTTTCATAAATTTTAGTAGAAAAAAATTTTTTAGTATAAAATTTATTCAAAACAAGAACAGTTTCTTAGTTCAAAAAGTTTTCTACTTAATTTAAGATAATTTAGCTCGAAGTTTTTGGTTCAAAAAATTTTTTTTTGAAACAAATTAACTTTTTTTTTTCATTGCGTAAAATTAACATAAAAATTTTAATAATATTATTTCTTTATTATAATTTTTAATATATTTTTTACTTAATAGAAATTTTTGGAATTTAACTTAATGATTCTATCAATAATTAATTAAAATTCCAAAAATATTATTCATAGATGCGGTTAAAAATTGTAAAAGTTAAAAATGTATTTATTAAGATAAAATAAATTCAGAGACAGAAACTGTCAACGGATTATAGAACCCCGATAAAATAATATTGGAAGTACATTTATATCCCGAGTTTATTCTTTTTTGGGGCATAATAATTTATTATATTTTTGGACGGTGAGGTCAAAGGTAAACGTAGAACACGAGGACTGAAGCCTAAGCAGATCCCTGGTTTATTTCCTGGGTCGAGGTTCATCCTCAACCCTCATTCTTGTCTTTTGGTCCCTCGTATCTTTTCCGGGTGGCAAGCAACGGACCGGACCAGAGTGGGACAGAGGAGTCTCGGAGTATCCTTTGACTTTTTCCCGTCACTTTTATCGGAGGATCGTATCAAAGCGAAATCGGCCTTCGGGTTGATGGCTTCTCTTTCATTCTTCTTCTCCTCGACTAACCAAACTGCTATCCCACTGACGTCATTCGTTTGCCCTATATCTCTGGTTGTGTAATAAAAAAATACGAGAGAACAGAAGCGAGTAGAATAAAATAAAAAATTGTATTTTAACTTTTATTTTTTGCTAAAGCACAGTTGGTTTGGTTTCAGAGAAACGAAAGCAAATTGTCGTCAAAGGTGCACGGAGCCAAACTCTGAGGAACCGGGCAACCGGAACGCCCCTGTAGCGACTTTGGTTTTAAGACTTCCATCCTGGACCACTGATAAAAGATAAACAAAAGCTCAAACTAAAGGTAAAATGTTTACTTGGCTAGAATTTATTATATTTTTTATTCCTTTTTTATATTTTTGTTAGGAGTACTAAAGAAATTTATGAATCGACAGAAATGAGTCATTTTTTTTTTAATGTTAAAGGAAAATGGAAAAAAATTGGAGCTATTCAATAGGTCAAAAGTTTTGTTCAAAATATTAAAAAAATTAGTATTACTAGCAACCGTAATTTGTAAACTAAAAATAAATAAAATTTGGCTTTATTAAATAATGACTTTTGTTAAATTGCACTGTACTTGCTTAAATATTGACGTTTTTAAGGATATAAGCTCATCCCGATGATACATTCATCAAGAGCTTTCATTTGAATACCCACATGCATTTTTATATATTTTTTATATATAAATATATATAATATATATATATATATATATATATATATATATATATATATA